ATCCAGTGGAAAAAAAGACATTCTCTTCAACAAATGGTGTTGGGAAAATTGGACAGCCACATGTAGAAGAATGAAATTGGACCACTTTCTTACACCATACACAAAAATAGACTCAAAATGGATGAAAGACCTAAATATGAGACAGGAATCCATCAAAACTGTAGAGGAGAACACAGGCAGCAACCTCTTTGAACTCGGCCACAGCAACTTCTTGTTAGACATGTCTCTAAAGATAAGAGAAACAAAAGCAAAAATGAACTATTGGGACTTCATCAAGATAAAAAGCTTTGCACCCAAAGGTAACAGTCAACAAAACTAAAAGGTAACCTATGGAATGGAAGAAGATATTTGCAAATGACATAACAGGTAAAGGGCTAGTATCCAAGATCTATAAAGAACTTATCAAACTCCACACCCAAAAAAACAAAAAAATCCAGTCAAGAAATGGGCAGAAGACATGAATAGACATTTCTCCAAAGAAGACATCCAAATGACCAATAGACACATGAAGAAACGCTCCACATCACTCAGCATTATCAGGGAAATACAAATCAAAACCACAATGAGATACCATCTCACACCAGTCAGAATGGCTAAAGTTAACAACTCAGGAAACAAAAGATGTTGGCAAGGATGTGCAGAAAGGGGAAGGAACCCTCTTATTACACTGTTGGTGGGAAAGCAAACTGGTACAGCCACTCTGTATGGTGGTTCCTCATAAAGGTACAAATAGAGCTACCCTACAACCCAGCAATTGCACTACTTGGTATTTATCTAAAGGACACAAACATAGTGATTTGAAGGGGCATATGAACCCCAATGTTTATAGCAGCAAGATCCACAGTAGCCAAAATATGGAAAGAGCCCAGATGTCCACCGACAGATGAATGGATAAAGATGATATGGTGTGTGTACACACACACACACACACACACACTCACACTCACACTGGAATATTACTCAGCCTTCAAAAAGAATGAAATCTTGCCATTTGCAATGATGTGGATGGAACTAGAGGGTATTATGCTAAGCAAAGTCAGTCAGTCAGAGAAAGACAAATACCATATGATTACACTCATATGTGGAATTTAAGAAAACAGATGAACATAGGGTAAGGGAAAGAAAAATAAAATAAGACGAACACAGAGAAGGAGACAAACCATAAGAGACTCTTAACCATAGGGAACAAACTGAGGGTTGTTGGAGGGGAGGTGGGTCGGGGGATGGGGTAGTTGGATGATAGGCATTAAGGAGGGCACTTGAAGTAATGAGCAGTGTGTTATATGCAACTGACAAATCACTAAATTGTACCTCTGAAGCTAATAATACAGTATATGTTAATTAAATTGACTTTAAATTAAACATTTAAAAAAATAAAGAAGATTTAATACTGATTCTTTTCAAACTGTTCCAAAAAGCAGAAGAGAAAGGAAATCTTCCAAATTCATTCCATGAGTACACATTAGCCTGATGCCAAAACCACTCAGACACCACAGAAAAACAAAACAAAAGAAACTATGGGCCAATTTACCTGATGACATAGATGCAAAATCCTCAACAAAATATTAACAAACCGAAGTCAATAATACATTAAAAGAATCATCCACCACAATCCAGTGGGATTTAGTCCAGGGATGCAAGTGTGGCTCAATATTTGCAAATCAATCAGCGTGATACATCACGTTAACAATAAGAAGGAGAAAAACCATATGATCCTCTTAATAGATGGTAAAAATGCATTTGACAAAATACAATATTGTTCATGATAAAACTCTAAACAAAGTAGGTTTAGAGGGAACATACCTCAATATAATAAAGGCTATATATGAAAAACACATAGCTAACAATGGTGAAAAACTGAGAGCTTGCTTTTCTTATAAAATCAGGAACAAGATTAAGAATGTCCACTCTCACCACTTTTATTCAACATAGCACTGCAAGTCCTAGCCACAGCAATCAGACAAGAAATAAAAAGCATATAAATTGGTTAGGAAGAAGTCAAACTGTCACTATTTGCAGTTGACATGATACTATATATAGAGAACCTGAAAGACTCCACCAAAAAACTACTAGAACTCATAAATGGGGTGCCTGGGTGGCTTAGTCCGTTAGGCATCCGACTATTTTTTTTTTAAGATTTATCTATTTGAGAGAGAGAGAGTACTCACGTGAGTATGAGCACTAGCATGAGCACGAGTGGGGGGAGGGGCAGAGGGAGAAGCAGGCTCCCTGCAGGGAGTCTGACACAGGGCTCTATCCCAGGACCCCAGGATCATGACCTGAGCTGAAGGCAAATGTTTAACCACTGGGCCACTCAGGTGCCCCTTGGCATCTGACTCTTGATCTCGGGGGTCATGAGCTTGAGCTCCATGTTGGGCTCCATGCTCAGGAGCCTACAAAAAAAGAAAAAAAAAAGAATTCATAAATGAATTTAGTAAAGTTGCAGAATCCAAAATTAACATACAGAAATCTGCTGCATTTCTATGTACTAATGACAAAGTAGCAGAAGGAAATTAAGAAAACAATCCCATGTTCAATTGCACCAAAGAGAATAAAATATCTAGGTATAAACCTAACCAATGAGGTGAAAGACCCATACTCGGAAAACTGTAAGATACTGATGAAAGAAACTGAACACAACACAAATGGAAATATATACTGTGCTCGCACATTGGTTGTTAAATGTTAAAATGTTCATACTACCCAAAGCAATCTACAGATTTCATGTAATCCCTATCAAAATACCAACAGCATTTTTCACAGAACTAGAACAATCCTAAAATTAGAATGGAACCACAAAAGACCCCAAATAGCCAAAGTAATCTTGAGAAAGAAGAACAAAGCTGGAGGCATCACAATCCCAGAATTCAAAATACACTACAAAGTTATAGTAATTAAAACAGTATGGTAGTGGCATGAAAACAGAGTCATAGGTCAATGGAATAAAGTACAGAGCCAGAAATAAATCCATACTTATATGGTTCTTTAATCTATGACAAAGGAGGCAAGAATATATAATAAAGACATTTTATTCAATAAATGGTGCTGGGAAAACTGGATAGCTACATACAAAAGAATGAAACTAAACCACTTTCTCAGACCACACACAAAAATAAACTCAAAATGATTATAGACCTAAATGTGAGACCTAAAACTATAAATCTCCTAGAAAAAAATGTAGGCAGTCATTTCTTGATATTGGTCTTGGTAACATTTTTCTAGCTATGTCTCCTCAGGCAAAGAAAACAAAACCAAAAATAAACTATTGGGACTATACCAAAATAAAAAGCTTTTACATAGCAAAGTAAACTATGAACAAAATGAAAAGGCAACCTACTGAATGGGAGATATTTACAGATGAAGTATCCAATGAGGGGTTAATATCCAAACTACATGAAGAACTTATACAACTCAACACACACATACACACACACACATCCGGTTACAAATAGGCAGAAGATATGAATACACATTTCTCCTAAGACATGCAGGTGGCCAACAGACACATGAAAAGATGCTCAACATCACTCATCATCAGGGAAATGCAAATCAAAACCACAATGAGATATCACTTTACACTTGTCAGAATAACTAAAATAAAAAAGACAAGGACTAGTAAGTGTTGGTGAGGATGTGGAGAAAAGGAAACCCTCCTGCACCGTTGATGGGAATGCAAACTGGTGCAGCCACTGTGGAAAACAGTACGGAGGGTCTTCAAAAATTGAAAATAGAAATACCATATGATCCAGTAATTCCACTACTGGGTATTTAACCAAAAGAAACAAATACACTAATTCGAAAGGATATGTATGTTTATTGCAGCATTATTTACAGTGGCCATGACATGGAAGCAACCCAAGTGTCCATCAACTGATGAATGGATAAAAAAGATGTGGTAGATACACACACACACACACACACAGTGGAATATTACTCAGCCATAAAAAATGATCTCAACATTTGTGAAAATATGGATGGAGCTAGAGGGTATAATGCTAGGTGAAATAAGTCAGACAGAGAAAGACAAATACCAAAGAATTTCACGACCCTATGAACTAGATTTTGTTTCTAAGAAACAAAACAAATGAACAAAAAAGAATCAGACCCTAAATGTAGAGAACTGATGTTGGTCAAAGGGGAGGTGGGTGGCAGGATGGGTGAAACAGATAAAGGGGATTAAGAGATACACAAACCTCCTATAGCCAAACTATGGAAAGAGCCTAGATGTCTATTAATAGACGAAAGAAGATGTGGTATATATACACAATGGAATATTATGCAGCCATCAAAAAAAATGAAATCTTGCCATTTGCAACCATGTGGATGGAATTAGAGGGTATTATGCTAAGCGAAATAAGTCAATCAGGGAAAGACAATTATCATATGATCTCACTGATATGAGGAATTTGAGAAAGAAGACAGAGGATCATAGGGGAAGGGAGGGGAAAATGAAACAAGACGAAACCAGAGAGGGAGACAAACCATAAGAGACTCTTAATCTCAGGAAACAACCTGAGGGTTGCTGGAGTGGGGGGTGGGGTGGGAGGATGGGGTAAGTGGGTGATGGACACTGGGGAGGGTATGTGCTGTGGTGAGTGCTCTGAATTGTGTAAGACTGATGAATCACAGACCTGTACCCCTGACACAAATCATACATTATATGTTAATAAAAAAAGAGAGAGATGCAAACTTCCAGTTATAAAATAAGTCACAGAGATGAGAAGTACAGCATCGGGAATACAGTTGATAATATGTGTGGTAAAGTTGTACGGTGACAGATGGTGACTATATTTATCATGGTGAACACTGAGCTACACACAGAACTGTCCAATCACTGTTTATAGACCTACAACTCATGTAACACTGTATGTTAATCATACTTCAATTAAAAAAAAATACCTAAGTCTAATTCTCTTTTTCTACTTTTATACCATCGTTTTTATATTCTTCCCTCATATCTTTTTTTTTCAACAAACAATACTCATTTGCTTTTTGTTTTTCTTTTTTAAAGATTTTGTGGGCCCAAGATTCGAGGCAGAGGTGGGAACATCAGAAACATACATGAGGCCTGCCCTTGCTCCCCAGTAAAAGCAGAATGCATTTACTCATCAAAGTTCAGTGCATTTGTCCAGTTCAGCACTTCATCCACTTCCCATTCCATCACAGAATCTATTCCACCGCCTTCGACAGCTCTCATTAGCCCCTTGGTGGCTGTGTGAATTAAATCTAGAGTTCTATGATTTGTTGACTTAGCCTCTAGGTTTCCTGCATAGTACCTAAACAGGGGAAAGGAAGGGAGACATCATCTTGTGAAACAGGTCATTACTAGTAGATACAGTTAATACATATATTGTTGCTGTGAAACCACTCACATATTAAACCAGGTTTTCACCTGATTTATCTCAAATACATCCAAACCACGTTCTATGTGATGGGATCTTTTGGGGAAAAAAAAGAAACAAGGCAACTTAATCAACCATGCTAACTGGTGAAGCCTCGTTTCAAAACCACCCCTTGGTACACTGCCCTGCTATGATACAATGAAAAACCAAGTAATTAAATCACCAAATCATAGAATTACAGAGTCAAAGGATCTTGGAGACCAGATGATTAGCCCTCTTGTCTTACAGGAGAGAGATTAAGTCCTGGAAGACAAGGTCATGTGACTAACAGCAGGTAAAGAGGGGAAAGCAGAGGGAACAGGAAAGAGAGGGAGAGGCAAAAGGGAAGAGAGATGGTAATATCCTTTTTTGTGTCAGGTACTTTTCATACATTATCTTGTTTAATTCTCTCTAAAAAGACACAGCCATTTGTGACACCTGTTTTTATTCCTATTTTACGGGTGAGGAAATGGAGAGCTGGTGAAGTTAAATTGTTCAAGATCATGTAAGTAGTAAGCAGATGTCAGAGCCCATCTTCGAATCAGACTCCAAGTCCAGACTTCTTCGGCTGCACTGTTCTGTCTCATGTTAGTCTGAGCACATAAATGAACGCATCCCCCAAACGTGAGCTAAGTGTGTACAGGCAAGTTAGCAGTCCTTCCAAGAATATTAGAAAATGGTGTTTTTTCTTTGGTTTTTCATTTTAAGATCTACAATGGTATTCCATTTTCAAAGTTAACCTACTCTGAAACTGTTTTCATTTCTTTTTTTTTTTTTTTTTAAGATTTTATTTATTTATTTGACAGAGAGAGACACAGCGAGAGAGGGAACACAGGCAGGGGGAGTGGGAGAGGGAGAAGCAGGCTTCCCGCCGAGCAGGGAGCCCGACGCGGGGCTCGATCCCAGGACCCTGGGATCATGACCTGAGCCGAAGGCAGACGCTTAACGACTGAGCCACCCAGGCGCCCCCTGTTTTCATTTCTTAATTCAACACAGAGTAGGAAGCAGCATGGTGGTCGTGTAGGGCTAGATAGGACTCTGATATCCAACTATCTGGCCTTGAGTCTTGCTTCTGTGATTTATTTACTAGCTCTATGACCTTTGCCAAATAACCTAGTCTTCCTGGGCTTCAGATTACCTTAAAATGGTAGTCATAATACTCCTCAGCATTCTTGAGAGGTTTAGAAGTGTAAGTCTTTATAAAGCATTCAGAACTATGACTGGCACATAGGAAGCATTCAATAAAAGAAGGCACACAAATTCCTGGATGGTAAGAGGTAGGACAGTGACAAGATATGTCTCTGCCTTCATGAAGTTTTTGCTTTTTCAAACTTTAAATAGATAATGATCCATGAGAGCTACTTTCATAGAAGCAGGAACATGCCTCTTGATTTATATTGGTTAGTAAGAGCACAAATTATAAGAAAGTATGATTTCACAATTTTTCTATAGTTCTTCATTCACTTACTCATGTAATAAATACTTATCGAGTGTCCACCATTTGCAAAGCATTGTGTACAGAGATGGGATTCCTTTGTGGAACTTGCAAATCTTCCACTCTATATTCCCTGAACATAATAGGCACTCAAAAAAATTAGTACTGAATGAATGAATGATGGTACCCAATGGCCCAGGTTTATTAATTAATGCTGATGCCACAACAAAAATGCATTTAGAAATCAGAAAATTCTGGAAGGCTAGAGGTGAACACATTTTTTATGAGTTCTTCCATGTTTTACCTTCCTAAATATACACTTGTGACTAGATTTGGAAACTGGATGATATTTCTTTTTCCTTTGGCAACAGTGATTTACAACAGTTCAGTTATCTATTTTTTACTCTCATCAGGGATATATAGAAAGAGGATTCATTTTTTTTTAAAGATTTTATTTCTCTATTTGAGAGAGCAAGAATGAGAGAGAGAGAGAGTACATGAGAGGGGGGAGGGTTAGAGGGAGAAGCAGGCTCCTCGCCGAGCAGGGAGCCCGATGCAGGACTCGATCCTGGGACTCCAGGATCATGACCTGAGCCGAAGGCAGTCGCTTAACCAACTGAGCCACCCAGGCGCCCGAAAGAGGATTCATTTTAAAGAGAATAATATTTGTTCCAATAATTTAATTCTGTTTTAAACTCTTTAAATATTAGTCACTATTTATAGTTAAGTGGGCTGTAACAGTAATCAAACAACAATAGGTCAGCAAGGACAGAATTTCAAATACAACAGTAACCAGAAATACAGATCACTTCATAATAATCATAACATGTTTCATAAAAAATGAGCAGTATTTAAAACAAAAACAATATAAAATTTGGCTTTAGAGGTAATGCTGCAATATATCCATTTTAAAATGATCTCATATTCTAAGATAGAAAATTTAAAGAGAAAAAAAATTATAAAAATTTTTCTGAAACCAACAGGGAGAGAAGTTAAGATGCAAAAGACCTAGTAAGAATCAAAGTTTAAACTGGAAAAGAAGTCAAGAAAAGCTAAGATCTCTAGGGCAGCACAGGAAGGGAATGTAAAAACCACATTTTTTTTTTTTAATTAAGAGAGAGGTAAAAAAAGGATCAAGATTTTGTTGATTTTGTTTACTGCTGATTCTCAGCAGAAGTAGGTAGAGGATGCTATCATCAGTGAACAAAGCACACGAAGTAACACTTCTCGTTCATCCCCTGCAACCTTACAGAAAGGAAACAACAACATCCAGCTATAAGGACTCACTCCCTCCCTCACTCACTCAACTCATTCAACAAACAACATGTCTTCATTAAGCATCTACTATGTCTACAGCCCTGTGCTGACAAATAGATCAGAGTCCCTGTTCTTTAGGAGCTCCCAGTGTAGTGGAGGTGGCAGACAAATACGCAGAGATTTGCACAAGTGTGACAACTGAGTATATAACACATCTGTGAGGGCACCTCTGAAAACAGTGCCCGTGCCTCGCTATGTCAGGGTCAGGGCAGGCTTCAGAAGCTGTTTGAGCCAAGCATCACAAGGTGAAGGCCTTGCTGCCATGGAACTGAGCCAGAAAAGAGCAACCTGGGGAGAGGGACTATCATGTGGGATGGAGGTAATGGTGAGCCCCCAACATGCTTCGGGTAAGGAGGTGATTTAATTCGTGTTTTCAAGACATGGCATCAGTGTTTGCACAGAGATGGCAAAGGATGAGAGACAAAGAGACCAAGTGGAAGGACTCTGCCTGTGAAGTGGAGATGAGAATACTGAGAAGCTCCAGTCGGGGAGGGACAGACATGCCAGACTTGGGAGAGTCTCTGGAAGCAGAATTGATAGGACTTTATGACAGATGACCCACAGGAGCTTATGACAGGTAAGAAGTCAAAGAGAACCCCTACATTTCTGACTTGGATGACTGGGTAAATGATGGTGTCATAACCTGAGGCCAAGAGGAATATGGAAAAGAAACCATTTTTATGATGAGCAATATAAGAAATTCAGTGTTAGACCAATTGAGTTTGAGATAGAAATGTCCATGTAATTAGAAATAGAGAGCTCAGTTATGGATGAGGATTGAGAGTAAACAGAGGAAAGAAAAGAAAAAAGAAATAAAACAGATTATTATTCATGTGCATTGGCTTATTTCCAGGTGTCTCGCCCTCCGGTCTCTGCCCACCGCGGTGCCGTGTCTCAGCGTCAGCAAATCACACGAGCGTTCTGTCAGTTCTAGCTGTTTCTGGGGACAGCACACACGGGGAGCGTACTGCGTTGTTCTCAGCCTATTACCACTTCCTTTACTGTACATGCATCCCCAGTTAGAGGCAACGTTGTATGGAATAAAATGATGATGGATAAGGCTTCTGTAATAAATGGTATTGCTGACAGAAGTAATGCAAGCAGAGAAATAAAACACACACCCAAAATATTTGTCTATCACTGCGAACACAAAGAGATGCCACCTCTATCTGGGAAGGGTCCAACATAATCAGCCTGCCACCAGGCAGCCAGCACACTGTTGGAGGCAAATAATGGTTTCTGCTGTCCAGTTATCTGTGACTACAGAGACGGAACAACCTCAGTGAGGAAAAGACCAAGTTTATGAATCTATATGTAGCCTCCATCCCTATACCCATGACCACTTTGTACATGGCTCCATTGAGCAACAACTGAAGAGGCCAGGTGAAAAAATGGACATTGACAGGATGGATCACCTCGTCCATCTGAATACTTAGAGCTTTCTGCCTCCTAGGGAGGACATTCACAAGGACACAAATATATGCTATGCCCATTCTGAGTATACCTGTCCCCAGACCTAATCCCAATTGCCCCCATTTAATTCCATCCAAGTACCTAATCAGCTGAGAAGCTTTCAGTTACTGCCCATAGACAGTAAGGTTTCTGTCTCAAACTGCTTCTCCTTTCTATATGAAGCAGAAAACCACTTGCGCTCACTGGGAGGATACCCTTTGACCATTCTCTGGGCCTACTGAGGGGTTGTAATCTAGTCACTGTCCATATTTGGATGTTGCCAGAATCCTGTGCAGATGCCTGGTGAATTAGACCTAATATACTCTCCCTCTGTTAGCTTGTCACAGGGGCTCCCCATGAAGCCAAAGGCATGGAGATGAAGCAGAGCCAATGTACGATTGAAGGAATCTGAGCCACCTGCTCATACAGCTTACCATAGCCCTCTGGACCTTCTCAGACCCATTCTCTTTTGTACTGAGATGATGCTGTATACTCTCAGTTTTACGGTTCATTGGATTAGATAAAAGTCAGGTCAGTTCATAACCACAGAGCACTTGGAATCCTACTGCCAAGCACCCAGTCTCTCCCAGGGCCCAGCAGCAGAACCAGAACTGATTTTCAAATGTAAAATAGCTGTTGGCAGAAGAGGGCATTACCTTACTCCTAAAACCTCTGTGCTGAGATCCTCTAA